CGCCGCCGAGGCCTTCGGCGGAGCCCCCTTGTGGGGCCACGAAGCGGTGTACTGGGCGGGGGGGACGCATGCGAACACCGCAACTGAGGCCTTCGGTGGGCCTCCCTATGGGGCCACGAAGCGTTGTATTGTGTGGGGGGAACGCATGCGAATCATGCCACTGGGGCCTTCGGTGGAGACCCCGATGGGGCACCGAAGCGGTGTACTGGGTGGGGGAGACGCATGCGAATCATGCCACTGGGGCCTTCGGTGGAGCTCCATATGGGGTCACGAAACCTTGTACTGGCTGGGGGAGACATGCGAACGTCGCCAATGAGGCCTTCGGTGGAGCTCCATGGCGCCATAAAGCGTGTGAGGGGTGTGCCAAAGTGGAGTGGGGCGGTATGCCAATCATGCCATTGGGACCTTCGGTGGAGCTCCCTGTGGGGCCACAAAACGTGTGAGGGGTGTACCAAAGTGAGGAGGGTGACGAGAGGAGGGAGGAGCGGGAGGAGGAGGAGGAGGAGGAGAAGAGGAGGACGTGGGGCACCATCTCTTCAAAACGAGGACCCAACACCACAGGATGGGTGGGAAACAGTTTCGGAGCAGGAACAGGCAAACCGCCCAAGACATCTTCGCAATCTGCTCTGAAAGCAAAGGATAGTGGGCACCCAACACAGGAAATCCACCAGAGACATCCCCACAATCTGGGCGCGAACGGAAGAGTGAGACACCTCGTGGCGGCTCCCCCTTGGAGTGTCGAAATGAGCGCCTCGCCTGAGGCATCCTCACCATCTGCATCCAGACATTTATGCAGTATGTATGTTCCTCTATCACCCACCGTGTGATGAGGTAGAAGGGATTCGGGGTCACTGCACGGTTTTGAGACTTGGGTCGTTCTCCGAGGATGCCTCGGGCGACATGAGCCTCCAAGGTTCCCAAACCATGCGGTGACGGACCGTGCGGCAAGATCTTCGGGGATTCTTAGGTCGCCGCACGGTGTGTCACCGCACCTTTTCGGGAGGCGTCTGGTCGGGCGGGCTGCAGACGTCGTTCCGCAGCGCTCCGGAACCGCTCTCAGAGCGTCCTGAAGCGCCGGGGAAGCGGCCGTGGCGCCCGAGGCATCCTCCAGAGCCGCCGGATGCCAGAGGTCCCCGATCTATCTTTGCCCGATTGTGTCCCTGTCCTGTTATCGGCGTCACCCCAACATACCTCTACTACTATATGTGCGCCGCTCCCGCAGGGGCGACAGCGCGCACCGAGAAGTCTTACAGCATATGCGTCGTGGCGGGCGCTTTCTGGCCACACCGCTCGCGGAACGATATACCAATGGGTACACTGCATGTTCGGGTCGGGCGCGCGCCTCCAAGGAGGACACATAGTATTAGCATGTCTCTGTGCGTCCCGTGGTAAGTCTTCGGAGAGAAGCCTGGGTCCCCCCCCCCCGAGGGCGCGAGGATGGGCCTCGCCTCGCGCGATTCGCGGGGGCCGGAGCGGTGCCCTTCCCCCCCTGGAGGGCGTCGCGGGGGCGCGAGCGTAGTGTCGCGCCTCTCTGCGGGGCGCAGCGCGCGGAGCCATGCGATCCGGAGAGGCAAGCAGGCGACGTCGATCGAAAAGGACGATATGCGCAAGCACGCACACACACACACATATATATGCATGTATATATATATATATGAATAGAGATACACATATATATATATATATATTGGTATACACATATATATATATATATAGAGAGAGAGATATACACACATATATACATATCTACATGTGTGTATGTAGCGAAGTCATGTTATCCAGAGAAGCAAGCAGAGTACATCGATCAACTAATAACCAGATGCGCAAGCACACACATGTGTGCGTGTATATTCGGAGTTCCGTGCAGAGTTCCTGGCTCCGCCCGACGGCTCTTATATCTATGCACTAGGGTGGGGGCGGGAGATGTGAGATTCCCCCTCAGAATTTCACGGCCCCCTCTTCTTCTTCTTCTTCTTCTTCTTCTTCTTCTTCTTCTTCTTCTTCTTCCAGCACGTCTCCTGGCTCCCCCTCGTCCGCGCACATGCCTCTGGCCATGCCTCTGCCCCCCTCTTCCTGGCCCCCCGTCTTCGGCGCACCCGCGTCCCATCCAAAGCCCCCGCCTGGGGCCGACGCCGACCCTCTCTCCTGCCCTCCCCTGACCCCAGCTTTGGAGCTGCGGGTGTAGCCGCCCTGGGCTCGCGACGTCTTGGCTGGCCCGGGCTCGACTCGGGCCAGCGCGTCTCCTGATTGGGTCAGCCCACACGTCCGAGGCCGTAGTCTTAAGTCGGGCCTGTCCCTCTATAGGAGGCATATTCAAAAATAGTCAAACATTAGTCTGGGGACTCTTTTTCCACCATTGTTTTACTATTTTGGAGTATTTTTTGTGGTACTTCGTCCGACAACCCCTTGTAGGGGGACACGCCCGACTTAACTGTCGTCTTTTCTCCACTCGGCTCCCCATAGGGCGGTCAGGGACCGAGGGAGGGCCCCCTCTGAGGCTGAATCGCGGCCGCAGGCTGGCCGTCGCGATGTTTCGGCACGCCGCGGGGCGATCGGTGTTCGGTGCGCAGCTCGGGCCTCCTGAGTCGGTTCGTGACGTTGATTGGATCATCTACTCCAAGAGCCCACGAGAGTGTCCAAAAGCTCCAGGAACGCACGGTGGCCCCTCACCCCCTGGGGCAGGTCTTCCGCGCCTGCGACCTCAACGGGGACGGGCGGCTGAGCTGCGTGGAGATGGAGGCGTTCGCGCGGCAGACAGGACGGCTCCGGGGAGAGCCCGGCAGGCCTCCCGGCGAGTCGACAGACCATGATAGATCTGGGCGTTGCAATTTTTCTCACGCCAGGCGTTCGCGCCTCGAGCCCTGGTGCTTCGAAGCCGGAGGGCGTCTCCCTCCTGCATGGCTTCTCCGATCCAGGCTGTCACCTCATTCGCCAGGTTGTCCGCCAGCTGGTTGCGGTCCAGCCTCTCCTGCGACGGCTTCGGGCCCCGCGACCCTCACAGATCGATCGGGCTCGAAGAGTGCAGCAGAAAGATGTGGTGGAGAGCTCTGGTCGCGATCGTCCGCGATGCTGCGCAACCTCTCGCACGGTCGGACCTCGGGGGAGGTCCCGAGTGGGGTCCGAGCAGCTGGTGGCGGAGGATATGCTGTGCGGCCCCGCGTTCTCCGTGCGACCCCGCGCTCTGACCCACTCGGGAGGCGTGCGGCCCTGCGTTCTCCATCTCGCCGTCGCCGACGCATCGCCGCCGCCGTCCATGCAGCGGCGATGGCTTGGCGGTGCGTCGGCGATACGCCGCGGCGATGCGGTGCGGTACTCCTGCCCCATCTGCTCCATCTTCTCGGGCTCTGTTCGGGAGGCCGATCTCTGCAGTTGCCGGGGTGCATGTGTCTGCTTCTGGGCCCGGGGGCGTTGAACCTTCAGGATGCGAATTCTTAGGCGGTCCGCGTATCCCCCACCAGCGGCAGTCCCCCTCAGCTCAGTCCCGGCAGCCCCCCAGCTGAGGCCTCGGCCGCGCTTAGTTGTCGCCTCACCCCTCGCTCAGTTTGGTTTTCCCGCATTTCCTTTGCCAATTCGTCTTTGCGTAGCCCGCTTTGACCTGACACGCCGCCGGCGCGCTCGCCCGCGGCCGCTGACTACAAGAGTATCCCCCACCAGCCCATCCAGAAACGAGCCTGGGTGAGTTGCATTGTTATGCTTTGGCTGATCTATCAATGCGGGAGCTTCATGGCAGCTTGCTTTGGCCCTCTTGGGGCCGTCCTTGGGGCTCTCTCGGGGTCTTCTTGCGGCACTCTTAGGGGCCTGTGGGCTCTCTCGAGGCAATCTTGGGGGCCATCGATCAGAAAAGAAGGCGGCGTCAGTTATAATTCGCACACTGAGGCGCTCTTGGAGCGCTTGTGGTAATTACCGTCTTGGAGCCCTCTGTGGGCCCGTCTTAGGGCCAGGACACTTTACGGGACAGGTTTACAGGAGAGGGGGGAGGGTGGGGGGGGGGCCTGGAGAGGGGGGCGTGGGGAGGGGAGGGGAGGGGAGCGTGGAGGGGAGGGGAAGACAGGCCCAGGAGAGGGGGGTGGGGAGAGTGAACCGAGGAAACCGCTGATAGGATGCTGAGGCCCCAAAATCACCCCCACGAGGCTCCCAGGAGGCCCCGAAACGGCCCCAAGAAGTTCCCCAGAGGCCCCAAGATAACCCAAGACCCCCTCATCTCAAGAGGCTCCAGGATGCTTCCAAGAGGCTCCCACGAGGTACCATAATTCCCCCACGAGGCCCCCAAGAGACCCCAAAGGCGACCACACAGCCCCCAAGACTCTCCAAGAGACCAAGAGGCCCCGCCAGGCATTCAAAACGCGACCTCAAGAGGCGCTGCAAGGCTCGAACGAAGCCCACAACAGGCGCCCATGATGCTCCACATGATTAAGCACCCAAAGGGCCCCCAAGAGGCTCCACAAGGCCCCCGAGAGACAGCTCGGACGTTTCCGACTAGTTTCTCCGATTCCTGCCCTCGGGAGCGGCCCACGGGCCGCGATTGGTCGAGCGCGCTCTGGGGGACTTCGAGGCAGGAGCGAGCGGGACGATCAGCCGGCTGGATGGCGAAGATGCCGTCAAGAAGTGCCCAGAGGTTTTCTCAAGAGGGCCCCAAGAAGCCAGCATCTTTGAAACACCGGTGGCAACAATGCGTGTTTGGAGATCTCGGTTTCCTTGCGCTGAGGATGAGGACGGGTACGACCACGACGATGGCGTCGTGCACGATGTGGAGGGTCATAACGACGACGATGATGATAATAGTGATGGTGATGGTGATGGTGATGATGTTGATGCTGAGGTTTCTAATGATGACTACGATCAAAACAATTATGGTTGTTGTGGTGATGACGGCGGGACAAATGATGTTGGGGACGATGATGATGTTGATGATGATTATGATGATGATGATGATGATGATGGTGATGATGATGATGATGATGATGAGGTTGACGATGGGGATGCCGATGACGATGGTGGCGGCGACGATGCTGACGATGATGATGACGATGACGGTGGCGATGACGATGACGACGATAACGATGATGATGATGATGATGATGATGATGATGATGATGATGATGATGATGATGATGATGATGATGATAACGATCATGATGATAATGATGCTGATACTGATGTTGATGATGCCGATGCTGATGGTGATGATGATGGTGGTGGTGGTGGTGGTGCTGGTGACGGCGATTGTGATGGTGATGGTGATGATGATGCTGATGACGACGATGATGATGATGATGACGCTGGTGATGCTCATGATGATGGTGATGACTATGATGATGATGATGATGATGATGATGATGATGATGATGCTGTTGATGATGATGATGATGATGGTGATGATGCTGATGCTGATGCTGATGCTGATGATGATGATTATAATGATGCTGATGCTGATGCTGATGCGGATGATGATGATGATGATGATGATGATGATGATGATGATGATGATGATGATGATGATGATGATGATGATGATGATGATGATGATGATGATGATGATGATGATGATGATGATGATGATGATGCAGGTGATAAGTAGTTCGAACATGTTGACGAGAGCGTTCCCCAGGCAGACCTACGCGTCTGGCGGACTCATTTTTCCAGTCCAGGCATTCCGCTATCTCGGCCTCCGGGCGGCCACTCTTTGGCCCCGGGGCCACTAGAGATCGGTCGGGGACGTCCCCGGGCAAGGGAGCCGAGAGCTTCAGGGGCCCCGCGAATCGAGCAGATCGATCCGCCGGCGGTCTCGGGCACCCAGGCTGGGGCGGACGATTGGAGGCATTTGGGAGAAAGGGGATTGCGAAGGAGGCTCACCACAAGACACCCAGAGGCCGCCCAGACGCCATCTTCTTCTTCCAGGAGCGGGGGGTCGCCGCCGCGGATTTGGCCCGTGCTGCCGCACGCCCTCGCGATTTCAGGACACCTCGGGAGTTTTAGACGCTTCGTGTCTGCCCACCAGCCCATCCAGAAACGATGTCCAGGCGAGTTGAAGTGATCAGGGAAGCGCGTGAGCAAAGAGGGGGACGGCCGAACCGTGCGAGGGAAGAGGAGAAGGAGGAGGCTTGATGGATGGATGAGGGAATGGGGAGAAGGAATGTTCATAGGAGGAGGAGGAGGAGGAGGAGGAGGAGGAGGAGGAGGAGGAGGAGGAGGCGCGCACAGCCTGGCGCGACGGGTGGTGACCGAAGCGCGGGACTCTAGCTGGATATGGAGGGCCTTCCACAATCGCGGAAGGGAAGCCAGACTGCATGGCAAGGGACTCGTGCAGCTGGCACAGTGACCACAGAAAGAGAGCTGGGTCAATTGAGCTGTCGATGGAAACATACGCCACGGCAGCCCAAGGCGACGAGGGGCCAGGAACCCAGAAGACCAGAGCGCCCAGACAGGCATTCCCGCCGCCTAGGCCCTCCGAAGACGGCCAGTGCAGCAGGAACGCCACCCCCGCGGGGACGGACGGGCGACCACCCAGCGGCCCCCCGAGGCCGCCCCAACCCAGAAGGGGCTAGCCATCGCCCCACGGGCGAAAACCGACCCCAGAGCCCCCCCCCAAAGCACAACCAGAACGACGATGCGAATCCAGCAGGGCGGAGCGTGGGCCGCACCGAGGCAGAGCGGAGCACACATATCAACTAGATATGCTCTGTGCGCTCACAACCTTTCACAGCCTTCAGCATTCTCCACTGCGCACGCGGCATCGGCGGAGCGCCGACTCCCCGCAGGCGCATCGGCTCGTCCCACTGGATGATGACATTGTCAGCGGGACTAGCGACTTGCACCACGGTCCCGACGAGCCCGACAGGGACACGGATCCGTCTGCCCGCAACCGTGTTGAAGGCCTCGATGGCCGCGACCCGCATGCCCTCCGCCAGCTCCTCCGTCGGCATGCTGTGCACGCTGTGGCACTCCCCGTCGTTCGCGGCGTCGCGGAGCTCGTCTCCAGGGCCGAACTCGGCATCCGCCCACGACGTTCGTAGACTACCTTCAGCTCGAACTGCTGCACCATGAACTGGCCCAGGTAGCTCGCCACCGCCAAGTACCGCAGCGCCGTCATCAGCAGGGAGCCCGTCACGACCATCATGGAGCTCGGCGCGACCATCACGAAGCTCGTCATGACCATCACGAAGCCCGTCGCGACCATCACGACGCGCGTCACGAAGCTCGTCGCGACCATCACGAAGCCCGTCAGGAAGCGCGTCGCGACCATCACGAAGCGTGTCGGGAAGCTCGTCGCGACCATCACGAAGCTCGTCAGGAAGCTCGTCGCGACCATCACGACCATCGTGAGGCTCGTCGCGACCATCACGAAGCTCGTCGCGACCATCACGAAGCTCGTCGCGACCCTCACGACCATCACGATGCACGTCACGACCATCGTGAAGCTCGTCGCGACCATCACGAAGCCCGTCAGGAAGCACGTCACGAAGCCCGTCATGAAGCTCGTCGCGACCATCACGGAGCTCGTCGCGACCATCACGAAGCACGTCGCGACCATCACGACCATCACGAAGCAGGTCACGACCATCACGAAGCTCGTCACGACCATCACGAAGCTCACCTTCTGCCCGAACGGCTTCGCCAGCACTCGACGAGTCAGCCTCCTCCAGCGGCGCCCAATCCACGAGCTTGTCCGTGGGTCCGTCCATGGACGTGGACTGGTCCTCCGCCTCGGAGTGCGACTCCACCCAGCCGCGCGCAGCGGCCAATGCTTCAGCCCCTGCACCAGGATGACGGAGCATGGAGGCTGCCGCGTCCACCGCGCGCTAGGCCCTCTCCAAGCGGGGCGGCGGGCGCCGGCCTTCGCCACGGCACCGGGCCAGGCCGGCGGCCAGCGTGGCCCCGCCCAACACCGCGGTGAGTTCCGCAGCCAAGCCAAGCAGCCGCTGCGCCTCTCCCCCTATGGCCGTCAGCGCCTCGGCCCCTGGCGCCGCCTCCGTAGCCGCTGCGGCAGGCGCAGGCGAGGAACCGCCTTGCGCCGCCCCAGCTTGCAGCAGCAACATGAGTGCTGCTGCGGCTTCCACCGTCGGGACCGTAGCTGTCGACACGCCATGTCTGACGGTGGAGCCACATTTCGCCCCACGTGGCATCGCAGCGGCGGGGAGAACAGCAACGCGCGCCAATGGCCGCGTGCCGCGCCGTGGAGGAGCTCAGAGCAAGCAGCACAGAGCAGGATCTCCTTGAGCCACAATGGCTACGGAGGGGGGGGAGGAGGAGGAGGAGGAGGAGGAGGAGGAGGAGGAGGAGGAGGAGGAGGAGGAGGAGGAGGAGAGGAAGAAGGAGAAGGCGGAAGAGGGCAAACAAAAGGGCCAGAGGTCTCTTGGATGCCTCTCGGAGCCTCTTGGGATATCTCTTGGGCGCTCCGTAGTGGCCTCTTGGGACATCTTGGGGGTCTCTTGGCGGTCCTGGGGGGCTCTTGGGCGTCTTGGGTGCCTCGGGGGGGCCTCTTGGGGCCGACTGGGGTCCTCCTGGGGGCCTCTTGGGGGCCATCTTGGGGCCCTCTTGGGGCCTCTTGGGGCCTCCGTCAATTCGGCTCCATGCAATCTGGTCGCGGTCGCCGGCCATCAGGCCTCGGGTCCACTCCAGACATGATTGGGAAGCGTGTGCTGCACGCGCCATCCCACTGTGGTCAAGATCTCGCCGGACCCCCCAAGTACCGTCACGCTTCCAGAAACAGTGGAAAAGGCGTGCCTCGAGCCGACTTGCACCACCTGCACGGGGGGTCCGCAGGGTACCTGTTGCCAAAGAGGTTGCATGGTGTCCAGAGGCCCCCTCTTTCCCGGCCTGCTGCACACAGCACCTCCTTTTGCGCCGCTTGTGGAGGCAATCCCTGCGCTGGCTGACCTCCTCTCCTCCCTCGAAGCAGAACAGCTGTTCTTCCCGCGCAGATCTCGATCCTCCTCCCCCCTACTACGGCCGCCATAAGAGATGATAATCATCCGAAGCGACGACGCGAGCATCAGGGGCAAACCCGGACGGGGCCTCACCTCGCCGCCCCACCGAGTGCAAGATCGTGCCGTTTGCACGAGTTCATAGAACGGGCCCGGTGGCATCTGAGATTCACCACCGCCTCAGGTATTACATGGGCCCTTCCCCTCCCCCGTCTGCTTCCCGACGGCACCGAGGGAACGCCGAAACGAGGCACTGAATTAAGAAGGAGGAGGAGGAGGAGGAGGAGGAGGAGGAGGAGGAGGAGGAGGAGGAGGGGGAGGAGGAGGAGGAGGAGGAGGAAGGAGGAGGCGAGGAGGAGGAGGAGGAGGAGAAGGGCCCCCTGGCCCTCCTCCTCCTCCTCCTCCTCCTCCTCTCCTCCTCCTCCTCCCCCTCCTCACGCCCCGCGCTTTTCCTCCCTCACCACCCCGGCCGGCGGCGCTCAGGATTCGAGGGGACCGCCGAGGAGTGGGCGGCCGAGTTCAGGGCCCTCTGCGCCGACCACCACGCAGGCGCGGCGCGGTTGGAGGGACCCCCCCCCCCCCAGCGTCGGGTGAAGGCCTCGGGCTGCGCGTGGACGCCCCCCCCCCCGCCGCGTGGCCCCCACCTGGCGGCCACAGCGGGCCTCCCGAGAGGACCCCGCTGGCCTCGACGGGCTCCCCGAGCAGCCTGGGGCGAGTCTCGTCACCCTGGCGCCACCGGGGTGTGCAGACCGTCCCGGACTGCAGTCCACCCGCCTAGTTCGGGGGTGGACAGAACCCCCAACAGTGACACGTCGATTAGGGAATTGTCCGTTTTCGGTTCTCGAGAGGGCGCCGTGGCCGTTATTTTCCAGGCTTGCGCCCGCCAGGTTTGGGCCTCAGGTCGTTTTCACTAAACCACGTTTTACTAAAGGGGGGTCTGTCCATCCCCGACTAGTGAGGATGGGCAACCTGCCCAAGGGTGCCCTTACATCCTCGCCTCCTCGGTCCATCCTTGGAATCCCCCTTGGAGTCTGCTCGTGGCTCTCTCGAGGCGCTCCCGGGGTTTTCCGGGGCCGTGTCGATCGGCCCCCGAAAGAGCACTTCGAACTCCACGCCGTCGAGTTGGACCAGGGGTTCAGTAGGGCTGGTCTTGGAGCCATCTTGGATTGGAACCCGAATTAGGTTCGAAATCTTGTTCGGAACGCGCCCAGCGACGGGATTGGGGGTTGGGGTGGAGGGGGAAGAAGCAGGAGACTGCGACAGGGAAATGGTCTGGGAGGTTGAGGTGCTTGACAGTTTCGAGGGTGCTCAGGGGGCGTCCTTCTCTGTTGCTCCCCTCTCCATCCTCCCTTTGAGCAGGACGGATGAGGACATTGTGTCTGGTGGAGAGACTTCTCCCCCCCCCGTTTGGAGGGCCCCCGCGGCCAGGCCGCGGCAAACCATGGCCGCGAGGCCGAGGTCACGGAGGAGGAGGAGGAGGAGGAGGAGGAGGAGTAGGAGGAGGAGGAGGAGGAACAGGAGGAGGAGAAAGGGTGTTTTGTGCGGTGGCGAGCTTTCGCATTACGAACTAAAAATCTGGAGAATGGAGGAGGGGTAGCATCGGCGCCATGGTATATCAGCCTGACTTGTGGGGGCTGGTCAAGTTTGGATGGGAATCGGCTAGACGATCCTCACAGTGGGAAGAAGGACAACGTTTTACCGAGTTACTTCCCCAGGACCTTCCAGACTTCTGCATCCGAACCATGCCAGCCTCCTTCCTTCATACATCAGCTCAGCACCAACGAACAATGTGCATCATATTCAAGTCACATGATGTTGGCTTCTTGCATCCGGGGACAAACGCCAATCGCATCATAGTTTTGATTCCGGTACCCCCGAAGCCGAGGTCCCAGCTCCACGGATCATAAGTCCATGTTCGCGGCTCTTGAGACCATCATGAGGAGGAGGAGCAGGAGGAGGAACAGGAGCAAAAGGAGGAGGAGGAGGTGGCGGTATGAAGAGACAAAAAGTGGAATCGTAGGAAAAAGGAGGAGGATGGGTTTACTCCTCCGCGCGCGCCATGCCTCCTCATTCCTCCCTCGCTCTCCTCCCGCCTCGTCGCTTAATCCGCCGCTCTCCTTCCCACCTCTCCTTTCCGCATCGCGGGCAGCAGGTGCTTGCCCCTTCCAAGGAAAACCTGTAATCCTGTTTTGTTGTCCGACGGTGTATGTGTGTGTGTGTGTGTTCTCTCTGTGTGTGTGTGTTTGAGTATGTGCCCGTGCGTGTGCATGTGCGTGTGTGCCCTGGATGAGTTGTGTCGGACGGCTGCTGCAGGACCCTAAGCGGTCTCTGCGGGCTCGGGCGCTCCCCGACGCGCGCGCGTGATTCCTGCTCTGCGCGCGACGCCAAAAGCTGTGTGTGCGTGTGTGCGCGTGTGCGTGTGTGCGTGTGTGCGTGAGTGCGTGTGTGCGTGTGTGCGTGCGTGCGTGTGTGCGTGAGTGCGTGTGTACGTGTGTGCGTGTGTGCGTGTGTGTGCGTGCGTGCGTGCGTGTTTGTGTGTGTACGTGTGTGCGTGTGTGCGTGTGTGCGTGTGTGCGTGTGCGTGTGGGTGCGCCTGCGTGTACGTGTGCGTGTGCGTGTGTGTATATATATACATATATGTGTGTATATATATATATATATATATATATATATATATTCATGTATAGGTGTGTGTCGAGGGGTTCATAGCCGCCGGCCCGAGGCCATGGATCATGCTGACGCCTGGGGCGTTTGCAACCTCCGCTCTCCCAGGCCACCTGATTACCCTAGGTACCGCGCGGGCACCCCCTCGCCAGCATGAGCGAACAGCAGGCAGAGACTCGCCCAGCGAGCCAGGAGACGAACTCCCAGACCCTGGAGACGCCCGGCGGCGAGGATCCGCCCTACCAGGGGCCGCTGGACTGCAGGCCAGACTGCCGCAACCCCGAGTGCGAGGCCAGGCATCTTGACGTTGTCGAGCGACAGCGTTGGAACCCAGAGGCGGGTTTCAGGTACCCTCGCGAGCCAAAGTTAGTCGTCACCGCCAGCCGTGACATGGGCCGCACGGCATCCACATGGGTGTTCAACGCGGTCCGGCTCCTGTTCCGGCAGGCGCACGAGGCTTGCGATTCGTATTGGATCAGGGCACTGTCGCCGCAGAGGCTGCGGCAACGGATGGCCACTGGAGCCCACGTGCTGGTGAAGACGCACGAGTGGACAGACAATATCACTGAAGAGCAGTTCCGAGCCGTGGCCCCACTGTTCACCCATGTGGTGGTGAGCATCCGAGACGGTTTCCCACCAGACCCCGACTGGATGAAGGTTGCGACGCACGTCACGCGCTTCGAGGACATCGTGGCGCACGACGGGGGCGGGCGGAGCATCGGTGCGCTGACGGTGCTCCGCAGCCTCGCGGACCACCTGGGGCTCGAGGGGCTCTCGGACGCCGACCTGCGGGCCGTGGACTCCGAGCTCATGCACCTGCCCATCCCCGGCGACCAGACGACGAAGTTCTGGTCCTTCCATGCGCGCCGGGGGGGGCGCCCGCAGTCCACGGCCGCCGTGGCGCCCCAGTGAGCGCTTCGGGGGGGGCGGGGGGCCGGGGCGAGGCGTGGGGCCGCACGGGCGGGAGCTTTTCGCGTCTGCGGCGCGCGTTCGCGCTCCCTCCGCGGGGGCCTCGGCACTGGCGAGGGAGGTGAGACTGGCATCGAGTCGGGCGTGTGTCCCTCTACAGGAGGGGGCGATGTTTTGAGTATTTGTTTCACTAGTTTTGAGTATGGTTTGAGTGCTTCTTGTTTGTCATCCAAAATCCGCCTGTAGGGGAACACGCCCGACCTAAGACTGGGACGTCCGCGGCATCGGCGCATCAGCCAGCACAGGGGCTGTCACACCGGCAGCGGCACAGACAGGTGTGGAGGCACCATCTGTAACTTTCCCTCCAGCTGCTGAGCCGACCAGTACACTGACGCCAGTGTTGCTTCACCAGTAGCGGGGTCAGCGCGTGTCCTTTGGACGGGTTTCCTGAGTGCAAGAACAGAGTTGCCTTTGGATTTGTCGGCGATGAAGAGGTGCTTTCGGCCGATGGGGATGCATCATTGCGTGTGCGGAGGTGTGGTCGGTATGACTAAGAATCATTGGACGAAGTAGCACAGTAGCGCAGTAGCGCGCGCAATGGGTCGGGCACGGTGCGTTGTAATGCCACCTAGGCACACCGAATGCACGCGATTCGGTACATGCTCTGTGTCGCTTTCTGCGGTATGCGTTGCCGTCGGGGCCCCCGTGTCCACTCTATATTGACCGGGAGGTGTGGGGACCCGTCGCGGCTCTAGGCTTGTAATCTTTGAGGTGCCGCATCTCGATGGGCTCCGCGGGGCCCCGTCAGGCTCAGTCGGGCGCCGTCGGTCGGACCCCGCCAGGTTCCGCCCCTCCTGCTCCCTGCTCCCTCCACCCGTCTCCCCTCCATTTCTGCACTTGCCCCCCTCCCCCCGCGCCCTCCTCGCCTTGTGGGTCTCCGTCGGGTTCCGCCCGGCCCACGGGGCCGCGGCCGCGCGCGCCCAGCGCTCGAGGAACCCATGCAGGGAAGGAAGGAGCTCCACGACTCGCGGCGGCGGCGGCAGCGAAGCTTTTCAGTAACGGGGAGGAGGGGGAGGAGGAGGGGGAGGAGGAGGAGGAGGAGGAGGAGGTGGAAGAGGAGGGGGAGGAGCAGAAGGAGGAGGAAGAGCAGGAGGGGGAGGAGGACGAGGTGGAGGAGGACGAGGAGGAGGAGGAGGAGGCGGAGGAGGAGGAGGAGAAGGAGGAGGAGGAGGGGGAGGAGTCTCGCTATTCAAAAACGTCACCGGAATATTGGCCGTACAGAGCGGCTAACACGTTGGTAGATTATTTGGCGAAAAGTGCATGAGAAGATCTGGCCAGCTTCTCACCAGAGCACCTGGCGAAATGTTCACCGGAAATGCTAGCGGGATCTCCGTTCGGGCACTGTACAGCGGTTCTTGGTCTCGCTTCGCATAGCATTTTGCTGCTTGGGCAGGGCCCCCGCAGCTATAGTTAAAAGTTTCCCGTCCGCGGCCATGCGCCCACCTCGTGCTGGCGTAGGGCACTTAGCTGCGCTGCGCCACGCACTCTCTTTCTGCGAGCAGGGGCACACGATAGAAATTTGTGACATATGACAGGCGTCTCCCCAGCTCTCAGAGGGGCTTGAATTGTATGATGCATGTCCAGCGGTGGAAGCACGGTTTTGACATGCAGCGCTTGATGCCCCGACGGTCTAGAAGGCCGTGGCTCCTCACCGACGCCCCCCTCGCGCTGGCCTCGCTGCCGGCGCCGCGCAGCCGCTCCGAGCGGCTTCTCGCCTCCCCCCGCGCCCCAGCGGCGCGAGCCACTGCGGCGACGCAACGGCCCCGTTGTCGACTCGGGGCTGGCGCCTTCCGGCTGCCTTCGATCTGTTCATCGGACGCCTTCTGGGAGGTCAGGTCAAGCGGGACTGTGCGCTGTCAGCACCTCCAGCGTCGTTCCGATCGCTGTGCCTGCGGGACACTCCACGAGACTCCGCACCGAGGGCTGCAGCGATCGCCACGCCAGAAAAGCCACGGACAAGCGCGCTGGCATCATCATCCCTCCCCCGTTCCAAACCGCAGCAGACATTTCTACACCAGTACGATGACTGGCCAGGGCCATTTTGGGTCTGGGATGGTGCAAAGACAGACCCACCTTTCCTCGGCCAGTATGGCGCATGCACTATGGAGGTGCCCAGTATAGCCCTTGCCAGACACGGTGGTGGTGTAAGAATACCTTTTGCTTATCCAACCGCCGTGCAACCGCGCGTTGATGAATGCGCGTGCAGTTTTTTCAATCTCGATCTGACCGCTGCGCCGACTGGAATACGCAGACACCTGTGCCAGTAGTTACACCGACCGTTGCCAATGCAGCGGCACGGATAGGCGCGCTGCGGCCAAGATCGATTGTAATTCCGCTCGTCGTTGACACCGCTTTCGCTTGTCTCCCCCCCTTTCATTGGACTTACGCCTCTTCGGCTGGCTTAATTGACCACAGTCTCTCAGAGACAACTGCGTCAAGACGGATGTCCTTGCGTCGCATATCGCATTGGACAACGGTGTTAGTACATGCTCATCTTTCTCCACCTTCCAGACACCACGCCCAACCAAGTGCCACGTTTTCCGTGCACTCGACGTCTGACCCGACGGCCCTGCCCCCACCTCTGCCTACGTTACCATTCCTTTCTATCCTGCGCCCCTTCGCCCTCGCCTTCTATCTGTGCTGCTTCGGGCCAGCCATCCTCCATGCTGCTTATTCTTACTGGTTGGTTCGTGCACTACTTCATCCGCGCTTTCTTCCGGCTCACGGCCTTGTGAGACTATGACTACGATCTCAAAGGTTTTGCCGAAACGAGCCGGGGCACAGCCATGTGCTTGGCGCCTGTGCCGTTCGCTCACTGGATGACAACGCTCGGCACCAACGAACACGCCTAGGGTGGGGGTCTATAGGACCCCGCGGGGGTCTGTAGGAGAGGGAGGGGTCTGTAGGACTCCGGGGGGTTGTAGGACAGACCCAAGTCCGCAGGACAGACCCGGGGGGTCTGTAGGAGGGGGGGGCTGAAGGACGGACTTGGGGGGTCCGTCGTCGTCGACTACAGCGGGCCTGAGCACCACCACCACCCCACCCACAGGGCATCCGCAGTGCGTCGTCGTCGTCGTCCGTCGTCCTCGTCCTCGTCCTCGGTCCTCGTCCTCATCTTCGTCCTTGTCCTCGTCGTCGTCGTCGTTGTCATCGTCTCTGTCGTCGTCTTCGTCGTCGTCCTTCTGGTCGGCGCAGTAGGAGGAGGAGGAGGAGGAGGAGGAGGAGGAGGAGGAGGAGAAGGAGCAGGAGGAGGAGAAAGCGGAGGAGGAGAAAGCGGAGGAGGAGAAAGCGGAGGAGGAGAAAGCGGAGGAGGAGGAAGAGGAGGAGGAGGAGGAGGAGGACCAGGAGGAGGAGGAGGAGGAGGAGGAGGAGGAGGAAGCGGAGGAGGAGGAGGAAGAGGAGGAGAAGGAGGAGGACCAGGAGGAGGAGGAGGAGGAGGAGGAGGAGGCGGAGGAGGTGTTAACATGCAAGCGTTCAGGTGACTGGGGAGGAATAATAACCCTGTTGCCTTTGGCTCAAGTGTTTAACGGCTGAAGCTACCGAGACTTGCTTCGCTGTGCGGGAGTATAAAGGTGACCTAGCATCATCATTGTTACCAGGCTCCCGTGCAGAACCCTCCTCGGGGTTTTGCATGGTAGCGGAGCGCGGCTGCCATGGCGGCGGCGGCGGCCGCTGCAGCTAGGCCTGGGCAGGGCGACCCGCCGGTTAACATCAATGTGCCGGCAGACAGAGACGCATGGGTCAACATGGACCCCAACCGATTCAACGACCTGTGTGAGCAAGCGTACCTGAGCGGAGACTTCAGTTACGTCCAGACAGCGTTACTCGCGAACCATTTCGGACTCGCAACGTTCATCAACGAGCGAGTGACACAGGACCGAAGGGAGGTATCGAACGCCGAGGCGTTCCAAATGTTACAGAGTGCTCATAAGACCAACAGCATGTTGTTAGCGATTACGAAAAGAAATGCTGCACTTGAAAGGGATGCTCGCAGACTGGTGGAAAGAGTTACCGAGTTGGAGACAAACAGCGAGGTACAAGAAAAGTTGATTGAAAAATTTGGTCAGCTTTCGGAAGCAATTAAAGGAGGAAGTGGAAGCAAGCACGGGAGCGGTAAACCGATAAGCGAATATAAGGCATTACAGGCGTTAAAGAACTTCAGTGGAGAAAGAGCAAAGTTCAGAGACTGGAACGACAAGTTCTTAAACGCACTGGCCCAAGTAAAACCGAGTTACAGACCGGCGCTGAAAATGCGAAACAAGAAGTTGGAGACGCTCGACGGAGTTGTACCAGAGGAGGACGCTGATGACATCATACGCATAATGAACGGCCGATTAACAGCGAGCGAATACTTGAAGGCGAATTCAGCTAAACAAGCAGAGGGTGACAACAAAGGAGAGTACGAGTTTACCGAGGGAGACAAAACTCAAATGGAGGAAGACTTATGGTACATTCTCAACGAGAAGCTCGAAGGTGCAGAAGCGAGAGGAAAATTAAAGGGACTTATGGATGGAGATGGAATCATGGCTTGGCAAAAGGTCTACAAATGGTACTCGGCTGTTACCGGAGCGACTCTGTCATCAAAGATGACACGCGCCACGAACCCTGAGTCGCCCAAGAAGATTACTGACGCCGTTACCCGACTTGAGGAGTGGGGCGCATTGGCAGAAAACCTTGAAAAGCACGGTAAAGATTACTCGCTGCCTCTTCCTTTTAAAGTCACCGCGCTCAGGGCAATAATGGTGCATGCGAACGATTGGTTTGATGAATGGCAGCAGGCGTGCTGGCGAACGCCCGACGCGCTTAACATTGACTCATTCCAGAAGTTATACTCCAAGTGCGAAGACTGGGCGCGTAAGAAGAAACTCGATTCAGACACAAAAAATAAAGATGCGATGGACATTGGGAACATCAACGAGATGGGTCAAGGGTCCGAAAATGTT